ATAGCAGTAACCAATCCTGAGTTATCAGAAAGAGAAGCAGCTGCGGGTAGTAACAATGTAGCAACCTTCCTGCCCGAATCAGTGACCACTGTCAGATTAGCTGAGCACGTTATGACAGGAGCTTCAGTATCTGCCCAAATAAACAAGTACATAGACAGTAAAACGCTACGTGAAATTTAAAGTGTTGATTAGTTATATCGCACATAACAACCATACCTAATGGAGGAAAGGTAACATGAACATCGGTGTTACAAGTGTTACAAGTTTAAAAAAAAAATCGGGCTTTCACAGTCGGGTTTTCACTTGAGATATTATTGTACCGATAACTGGAGAAATTATTTCAACACTATTTATTTTTCAGTCTACGTAATTAAAATGATTTTCATGCTGAACTGTGTTGTCCTTAGACTCAGTCTTTGGAAATACGACTGTGCAGCCAGCAGGGTATCTATCTTTAATGTGAGAGGAGGGAATCAAAATTAAGACTGGACTGTACCATTGACTGTACTAAATTAAAACCGTCTTAAAATACTTGTGTGTTTTGTTGTATAAACCCGTGAAGAGGTTTCAATATGGTGCATGCTACGAAATGCACAAGCAAAGTAGTTCGTAGTTACCAGATCTCTCTGATATACCATTAATCATAACATTTACGACTTAACAACATTGTGGGGGGGGGGGGAGTAATATCCCCTCTCCATGCTGTATAGGCCACTGAGTGCACCTTCTTCTTAATCAAATATTGTTCCTGGATTATAATTCGGACTTCTCGGCCCATGATATCTTCCTGGAGTATATTTGTCTCCCAATCTGCGACAATAATAACAAATAACAAACTTAAGGTTTTCGGCTCAAGTAATCTCAGTGATGACGACAGAACGACATCGTAACGACACACAAAACTCGAGGCCTCACCACCTCAATTTTATTTCACGTGTATACAGACTTCTAAGTCCAGCAATTTAAAACAGTATTATTTTACAGTTAAACTTTTTTCCCATTATTCCAATGAAAATAATTCTGTAATCTGTTATACGCCAAAATGTATTTATTTATTTATTTATTTCGTGTTATTTTACCAGGGTAGCCCCATCAGTTGTCGATGAACTGTTCTCCCTGGGGGCCCTGGATTACATAAAAACATGATATAAATGACAAAAATTACAAAGAACACAATAAAAGACAGAATGAATACATTACTAACAAAATAATCCAAGAAATTAAATCCACACCAAATTAAAACCCTAAATTACAACAGACAATGTATAACCGAAGTAATTAAAACCACATAACATTAAAACCCTAGATTAAAACAGACGATGTATAGATAAACAGATTTAAAATGAAACATTAACCCAAGTTAAAAACAAACAAACATTGTCTTGTTTAAAAATTGACTTTCGCTTTCCCTTGTCCATGTATTAAAAGGTAACTGTTCTTAAAAAAAACATATATAAAACCAACACCAATCCCCAAGAACCATAAATAAATCCCTATACACATGTAACTTTCATTTATTTATTTGCCCAGTACAGAGTTTTGAAAGACGTGAGATCATTGGCCAGTTTTACATTAGGTGCCAAGTTGTTCCAAACCTGTGTCCCAACAAAATGAAAAGATTGTTTACCTGCTCTGGTTCGAGGTCTAGGGGGACATATATTTTTTCCTACTGCATTCCTAGTCTGGTGTGAATGTACTTCTCTGGCGAGAATAAATTCATCAGAGAGGTAAGTCGGAGCACTGCCATTAACAATTGTGCACATGAGAGTACTTATGTGATAATCCCACCGGTCTTTTATGGGAACCCATTTCAATCCGACATACATCTCAACAGAAGGAGTAGTGTAGTCAACATTCAGAGCTATTCTGGCCATCTGTTTGTGTAGTCTAAGGAGACTGTTCGTCAACCGCTCCGTACATCCACTAATCCAGGCAGGACAACAGTACTCAAAATGCGGCAACACTAGAGAATTACATAAGAGTTTAATTGCGTTAGAATCCAATATCCTTTAAGGCGTCTGAGCACGGCCAATTTACTAGATATTTTACTGACAGGTTTTGCACAAGTTGTCGCCAATTAAGATTTTAATCCATCCAAATTACAAGATACTTAAAAACATTTACTTTTTCTAAAGGCATCTGATCAATATGTAACTGCATATCATCTACTCCATTCAGTTTCCGGGTTGTCCCAACTGACACACATTGTGTTTTTGAAACTTTTAAGGTGAGTTTGTTGAGTTTGAGCCAATCATTAATAAGATCCAGTTCTGAGTTCAGAATAGATTCACTGCCAGCAATGTTGTTACCGCTGTACATAACCACTGTATCATCTGCGTATAAAATGACCGAGGCCTTCGAGACAGCTAGAGGTAAGTCATTTATTTTGCTTTACAATTTCTCAAGCTAGCTTATGCACCAATATTTTACATAGATTCCACTCGGACCCAGCAGAAATTACGAATTATCAGATAGCGTTCAGCAAAATATAGCTAACCTAAATAAAGTTGCAACCCAATGTCCTTTTATTCCTTTTTTTTATTCGTAGATTCTCTCTTAATCAATTAAGCCACTGCAAAACTGTTGAAAATGCATGCATCTAGCTGTGCGTGAGAACTACTTCAAAATTTGTTAGAAACATTCGCTGAATGCGACCGCAGAATTGGCAATGGCTACCACAAAGTGTTTGGACTAAATGTGAACCACCACATACTAACCAATTTCTAACCACGGTCATACCCCCTTGATGCAAGATATGCCCTTGGCTGACTTCATGCCTAGGCTATTAATAATTAACGATACAAATAAATAAACAGACACATTCTGATGCAAAATCGTGTGTAAACGTTCTTGTTGACACGGTGTGTAAATATAACTGCCAGCCTTCATAAGATTATAAACTATTTTGGTTTTAGTAACAATGGGGACGGAATGATGTACCCAATACGAGATTATGTCCTTCATGGGCTATTCGTAGATTCCGTACTCGTGATTGAGCTTGTATTACGAACAGACTACCCATCGCCCTATTAGTATCTTCAAGTATATACCATTAGAAACCAACCAATTATTATTTTACAGTCGTGGGTAAAATGTTGTCATCACTGTAACTGTTCATTAAGTTCAATGCAAGTGCAATGTCTTGTATACTGCCGTAAAATTAAGGGCAGACCGCCATCATTCATTTAAATATGGAGCAAGCGTCTACAAATGAAAATTCAATGTTTCAAGAATACCAGACTATTATTGAAAAATCCTCATCGATTCAACCAACTCTATCCAATTGCTGGACTGCGGCGCTGACAGAGCCTTAGGTAACTGATGAGGTTTACTGCCTGGAGCTCGGAGCTTAGGAAATGCTAGGAAGTTCAAGCAAAAAGTAAAAGCTCTTACATTGGAGTAAAAGCACTAAAGGAAAATCAAATGCTTGAATCTGTATGAATTAAGGGTTTTTTTTTTTTTACTGTTCAGCATTCACTAGACATCAAGCAGCAAATGCTCCTTACTGTTGAATTGCTTGCATGCATGGACACTTTTGTGTATAAGAAATGGCACGCACATGTACATACAGTTGTTCCGTAGTTGTGGGGACATACACTCGTCTGTACGAAGTATTTTTAGGGACCGAAAATGCTGTGGGGACACCAAAAAGTCCCCATAACTCGGTCCTAATTTGCGTAACAATAAAAAAACTTCCCCATAACGCAGTGAAAGCTTACCCAGACTCGTTTCTTTATGGCACGTGTAAATCGAGGAATTTATATTGTTCCTCTTCCCTAATTGTTTATACTCTTAAAGTAATACTAACTTTTTTTGCAACAGCCTTTATTGGTTTTGTACACGTTTTCTAACCGAGGTACCCTGTCCTCGATTCATCGAAGATGTTGCACGGGTATATCTTCGATTTACACCATTAACAAACGCGTGCTTTAGTATACTCATGAGGACCTGCCCATTTCCTTCTTTTGTTCCCATTTGTTTGCACTCTAACTGTTTCTCGACAGCTCCCATACGGTTTGTACATGAAATTATCACGAGGACTAGTGCCAGGGTCCTTGGGCAGCGTCAGGCCCATTGTTATCGCACCAACCCCGTTGTCCCAAGTACTGAGGATCCTCAGTCGTAAAAGATAACCTGTACACATACTCTCAGGGTTTACACGTATAGAATACGTAACAGTCCAAATCAAGGTGATGCATGCAGTACAGTCAATAGTTAAATAGTTAATTTTGATCCTCAAATCCAGCGAAAAATGATGAAGACAAAAACTTGTTTTTGCCAGTTGCAGAATGCAGAAAGTATACCTTAATCATTCATGAGAATTTTTAAGCTCCACAGTGTTCTGTAGACGAAAAATCATATAAATATGTGTTAATTGATTATTTATTGAAATATCGAAAAACAAAAATAAAAATTGGGAAGATTGATTACCGAATAAACTGGACGATTATTAATTTCATTTTGTTCAGTCCCCAGGATGCTGTTGGATGAAGTTTCTTCTTAATCCTTCTGTGCTGTATTGAAATTTAACAGTAATACTTCACATATCGGGAACAAAATGCGAATTATCGTTTCTTCTAGTAATGAAATATATAATACAACTAAGTATTTAAATTTCGTATAAATATGATTGAAAATAAAGTATGTAATATCATTATGTAGTTAATGAACTTTTTGCATTTATTGTGAGGAATTAAAATTAATAAATGCAGCCATTTTGCGCTGAAGTATTTGCTTTATGTTTTCAAGTTAGCCCCAAACCATCATATTCAAGCAAAACGAAGTTAATACTTACAGTCTAGCAAAAGCTCGAAGTAAAAAGTAAAATACTTTCAGATTTTAGCAAATGCTTTTCAGTAAAGGCGTTTGCTTCATTTGATTGATACAGATGCAAGTCATTGCTTAAAACTTGTATAGTAAAAGCAAATGCTTGTTTTTATTCTTATGACCCAGTGAGTCATGTTCAAGGAGGACTATAGAAGCCCTCCAACCAAAAAACACTATCTTCCCGAAGTGGATAAGTCGAATTTCGTCAACCCAGAGACTGGGGAGCTAGGCGGGGCTGATTCGTTCTGCTGCTGAAGCTCGTAGGACCAGTTGGCGTGACGTTTGGGCAGACGACAGGTGTGTCCGCAGCAGATACGACCCAGGTAGGGCGCGACGATGGCCCGTACCTCCTCCCGCCGAACACAGAACATGATGAACACAATCACACCCTTTTACAAGCCAAGAAGAGGAAACAAAACAAGGCAAGGCAAGAATGATGACATTTGTCCCAGAGGGCACAAAAATCCGCTCAATTGATTAAGAATGGCTTTTTTTCAGTTAAAATCTTTTCCGTTGATGCATCTTGGTACATATACACTCAAAAAGTTCCCCCCTAAATACCTTTTTGTTCAACGTAAAAACTAGTGGGCACTTGCTCAAATTACAACTGGTAAGTACACAAATTCCTTAGCAATCCAGTCATACTCTTTGTTTGGCCCCAAAACAAATCGCATAAATTCGTACACATTATCCCTGTTTTTGGCCAAATAAAGAGCATGGCTGGATTGCTAATGAATGTCTGTACTGATTAGTCGTTATTGAGCAAGAGGTTGAGTTAGACAAAAAAGTATTGGAAGGTTTTTTTTTTTTTGGTTGAGTGTAGTTGGCCTTTGTAATCCTTCACGAAAACACTGTCCAGCCCACAAGCTACAGTGGGTCAGAGAAGTCAGTGAGTCCTTCAGCGAGGCACAAAGAAGACACTAAACTATAATACCTCACCGACCAACACAAAATATTAAACACTCGATATTCCTTTTGCTTTAGGGCTTAAAATCACCTCACTGTAGCCTACAGTATTTCAATTAAGGAATTCACTGAACATAAGTAAAAGGTACAACAAATAAAGCCATTGGCGTGCATAAATAGACATAATATGGAAGATAGTGAAATTACCAATATTGGTATAAGTTTAACAACACCCCGATTGTTAAAGTTATGTTTGTTGAGATTGTGCAGAAGGTGCATGATGTCCAGGAAATAATGTGCACAGATCCAATACAAAATTACAGTCACTGTTCGAGAAGATGTAATGGGGAAAAGTAGTGCCAGTGAGATATACATGTAGTCTTTCAAATCAAGTCAAATAATTTAAGAAAAAAGGACCCAATTAATTATGACTGGGTTTGCAAACCTACTCAAACCCACCTGCAAGGAGTTGGCCAAACAGAAGATGAGCTGGAAGGCGAAAGTCGCTCCTTCAATTGCCAGGAACCCAAAACACCAGGTCACGCCCATGAGGGCGGAGATTCCCACGGCATTCTGGAGGCGTTTGGAGATCTGCTGGGAGCGAGATGCCTCTTTGACCTTGAGGAGACTGCGCATGACCAAGATAAACGTGATGATGTTGTGGATGAGGATGAGACCAATGGGAGCAAGGAGGCTGAGGTACAGCACAAGACCAGGCTCAAGGAAGCAGCTAAAGAAATTAACGCAAACAAGAAAGATAAGGTTTTCTGATTAAGTATACAATTACACAAAAAAGACGGTTCCCATTTGGAAGGAGATAAGATGAACTCTAACCTTTCACCCTTTTGTTACCTTTGACTGTCATAATCCCACCAACAGCTGTACTTACTAGTGTTCATTCTGGTAGTGATCTGTTGCTGCTGCAAGGGTAACCGTTAGAACTATCAATGGTGATCCTGAAATAAAAGAGAGACAATTGTCATCTTTGCCAACTTTAATTTGTAATGGTTACAAGGCATCGTGACTTTGAACACAGTACACGAACTCTTTCAGGTCATAGGAATAAAAAGCTCACCACATGCACAAAGCAAAACAATTACCAAAGAAACTCACCCCAAGCGATGAGGCAAGCCTTGAGCATGTAGTGAGGCGTGTCTTCTGGGAACACCTTCACCGTACTGACGTACATGTTCCTGGCTTCAACGGCCATCCACACCATGGTGGACAGAGTCAAGTAGTGGAGTAAAGCGGCCACAAACACACAACCGCCTCCGGAGCCCTTTGAATTCAAACAGTGCGATCGCACAAAACAATTTTTAAACCTAAAGTAGATAATTCCTAATTATCGTAGTTCATTTTTTATTGCCATCTCAGTAAGGTATCTTAAGGTCTATGTGGACGCTGAAGGATACGAGCTTATTCACAGTGGAACTATACGTACCCTTGCATTGTCAACCCCTGCAAGGAATACGATGTACAACATCAACAAGGAGGCGCAGAAATGAATGAAGATCTGACGAGATTTGCCGCTTCGTAGCTTCCTTTAATACAATTTCAAGTAATTTAAATGAGCAAAACAAAATTAATTAGAAAGGAATCCAAACATGGGTGATTTCAATAATGTGTTCTGGACATACAAACTTATGTGTAGTCTAATGGTGGTATACAAATAAAATAAAATACAGGCAAATTAAAATGACTGCCTATTTGCAAAGACAGTACACTGCAAAAACTGTGTTTAGTAAGTAAACACTTTCTTGCTATCAGCTTAGAGTAAGGATGGATAGTATTTAGCCATTGAGCATTGATGTTTAGGAGTTGGACACGTAATGTTTAGCTTCTAAACATGTTTACAAAGTGATAGAAAGATTGTGTTTAACACAGTTGTTAGAGTGTAACTAGCAAACCTATTAAGTATCATTATTATGTAAGGTGCCCATTGGTTTTCATTTGTTTTTCAAAAAGCTTTTAAATTCGGCAAATTCCGAGACAGTAAAGACAATTTTTCATAGCGAAACATGATGTTGTGTTAAGAGAATTAATGATTTAGCCCATGCCTGATAGGACCAACATTTGTGCGGCAACACATGCCCGGTTCTCTGTTCTTTGATTTTGTGTGGACAAATAAAATGTTATACCTGATAGCTAGGTATATAATCAGCGTGATAGCCAGAGCTATGATTGACAGTGCAGCGCCAACCTGGCTGATGATATCAAGCGCTCGCTTAGCAGGAGTGGCATCGTTATCATCAGGTGCTTGGCCCTTCACGTCCTAGAAAAATAAAAAAGTTAAAATTAACATAAATATGTAGTTATGTTACATTGATGACAAGAATTTGAATGTTACATGCTAATCTGAGAACAGAATTAAAACTGTGTCGTTTGCATTATCTCCGTGCTTGGTAAAAAGGAGAAACAAAAGCAAAAGTAATCGCAAAAATAAGTGGAAAAAAAATCATGTCGCTATATTTAGCTTTTTGTATTGGAGGAGATAGATCTTTAATTTGGTACCAAGATTCGTAATTCCTACAACAAAGATTATAATCAAGCAATCTTTGAATACGAACTAATAAGATGGCAAAGTTGGTGGCATGACCACAGTGGCAGGACACTCTGTCATTGGTCAGTCCCGAGAGGCCACACCCATTGCTTGACCAATCACCGACGTTGTCATTCAGTTGAAAGTCCCAGAAGACGCAGTGGATGGTGGTTCTGTTCTTGTCGGTTTTATTGATTGCAGGTGCCTATTAATGGATGTGAGGAGGAAGAATGGAACATCATTTTAATAACTAGGCAAACATAGTGGTGGAAAGTATAGAAAAAAAAAACATAATGCAAATTTTTTTAAAAGATGTAATAACGGAGATGTGCCACCGACAGTTTTGATTTCAAACGCCAACTCTTTCTAGTAGGACACCCTAACCTAATCTCACCTTACATTACATCAAACAATTACCATTAACGGTTTTAGACTGATTTGATATCTGCAAAACTTGCCATAACCGTTTCCTACACTGTAAAAAATGACTCCACGCCATGCAGGTCAATCGATCATGTTAGACACACCTGAGGTTAAGCCGACCCCATGTGCTTTAAGTACACAATGTGATACATAACTGGCAACTTCCTAAAACACCTCAGGCACTAGATGTTCACTTTGTGCTGCTGCAGATACAACCTTAACTAGCCTCAGTTTCCTGTCAAGAGCCTCAAGTGTTCATGATTTTGGGACAAAAAAATGTGCTAGTGACAGGTACATGAGGTGCAGTCTGTTTTTACAGTGTACTCACCTTGAATTCGATAACCAATGGTTCAGTGAGGTTGACCAACTCAATGTTTTCCACAGTCAGGGATACGACAGACCCAGCAACCCGGAGGCTAGATCCGTTCTTCCCTTGGGAGCCTTTGATCAGAGATGACTTGAACAAGGTGTCATCAGCGTAGACAATGAAACTCGCCCGCAGCAGCTGGGAACCATTTTCTAAAAAGTATCAGTGATGTCAGAAAAAAACTGAAGACTGCACCATTTGCACCTATTTTCAAAGGCATCAGATAGCAAAGTTATATTGGAACAATTCACAAGTCAAGCCTTTCGATAAAAGTAGCAGGGGATGCAGGTGACACAGAAATGTATCAAGTAGGAAACAAAGTAAACCCAATATTTTAAAGAGCAAACTTGTTACAGCCCATATATTTTTTTTTCTTGGAGTTAACTAATCAATGCCTTTACATGTATGAATTAGATGTGTCTCTACTGAAAATTGCAATCTTACCATCGCCGGCCTGTATCAAGTCGACAATGTTAGCCGGTAACCGAATTGAAGCTATCACATCATGAGGCGCCTCACTGGCATTCACCAAGGTCGTGACCTTAGTGCCGGCAAGGCTGCCCTCTTGTGGTGAAGACTGCCCAGTCTGCTCCTGCGGAGCAGACACGAAGGTGAGTCCATTGCTAACCTGCACTGGGTCCAGACTGACCGCCTCAACGTGGATAGTGTCCTGTTGTACACTGAAGTGACCCTCTTGTCTCAGAGTCAAGGCAACCTGAGCCTCAACAGACTCAACGATGGCTGAGGAGCTGCCAACATTGACATCATGAATTTGGGAGTCAGGAGACTGTCTAGTACTCATGATGACATTTCCTACAGTCTGTATCACCAACTCAGTTACCTTTAAGCAAATTTATAAATACTCAAATTTCACTACAGTAAAACACATACTTGGTTGGTCCGCACAAGAAGATTAGTTAACCATGTTTACTGCCAACTATCTCATGGCGAATGGCTTACCTTTGGTGTGACTATTTTAACCTCTTTTAAATTCCTATTTTGATAATTTCGGAATTAAGTTTAGTGCGTCACTTTGCACATCTTCTAGTGTTCGAAATTTACTTTGGACGTTTGCTCAAGTAGAAGCAGGAAGTATGTGCCATCATTGAGGTAACAAGTTAGGCTCGTTGGAATATCTTCTACAAATGTTTTGTGAATGTTTTTACCAATTGCTGATTTCTTACCAAATGCTGGCTAACAGTCCACAGCACCAATTCAGTTACCTAAAAACAGAAAACAGTAATGCCGAATACCTAGCATGTGGGTTGTCGTTAATGGTAGCCCGTTTTCCCTTCATCTCGTCCAACACCCGATCGAACTAATTTGCAATGAATATCTGCACATACCTCCGTGTCACCAGATCCCACCTCGACAATGTTCATCAAAATGTTGGACACCACTTCCACATCTTCGGCATCCTCAGAAGACTCTGACGTCTGATTTGCCAGAAATTCGGCCACTTCAACCACGTTTCCTGTACTAACCTCAACCTAGAAACAAAAAAAAAATTTCTTGTCACTTAATTTTTAAGATAATCTGCTTCTCAATTACATAAATGTAAAAACTAAATATTGTAGATACCTTTTAAATATACAGTATACAGCTTACCTCTTCAACGTCTTCAAGATTAACCTCGTTTCTATTTTCACCACAGCTGCCAGGCTCGTGCTTCTCCCATTGGAAGTACACAGGAGGTTCAACAACTGAACAGTTCCTCACAGCTCGAGGTTGACCGGCTGATAAGGGAAATTATTGATAGCATTCATCATAAAGAAGTATTTAGGATTGAAATGCCAATGACTGTGACTGAGTAGATAATTGGAATCGAACTGAAAAAGTATAGTTTAGTGGATTGCGTAGGTTTCTTACCATTCATGGTCAAAAGAGGGCATCTCTCCATTGACTTCGCAGTCGATCCTGCTGATGTTACAGGCCACGTGAGACCTTCGTATCTTTCAGTTTCACACTGACCTGAAAACATGGAAGAATAACCTCGGCACGGGATTATGTTAAAACACCGCTGACACGGGCAATATTAATCGTTAATTTCATTTACCAAGTATGGAGTCAATTACTAGCAAACAAGTGTCTAATCAATGCCCTCAGATTCGCTTTCCTACCTAGTCTTGTAAACTTTGGTATACATTTCCCAAACAAAAGTACTTACCTACAACCGCCACAAAGAAGGAACATTCTAGAAACACGCCATAATTTGCAAACCACTGTAGATAAGTAACTTTGTGAGTTCCTATCAGATATAAAGCACCGTGATTGGCGGTAGAGGTAAAGTTAGTGGGTCCGTCCCATCCAGTCAGATCCGGTTCTATCCAGTTCACGCTGGTTCTGTTCAAGCCAGGACTGGCCAAGTTTGTCACATTTGCTGGGCAGACAATATCCACGACTTCAAAGTAAATCGAAAGTGAAAATATGTTTCAAATGAGTTATCCTTGTAGACGATGTCAAGTAGCGGCGCTACGGGGGGGGGGGGGCAGTATGGGGGCATCCCCCAAGTGTCTTTGCCCCCTCCCCCCAGCTTGCACCGAACACTTTATCTACAAGTAGATTCATTATGTTTATTTTCTCCGCTGTTAAGATTCATAAATTGTGTGCCATTGAAAGCATGACAACCTTGGTACTATGGACAAAACGCGCCACACATGCATTTATACAGCAGTAGATAGTGTGCAGCCAAAGTCTTTGTACATTTGTGATACATTTGTTATCGACCATTCTGCAGTTTGATACATTTCGCAAGTATACAAACGACTACACCTCTAAGTTGCTTTCGTGGGTTATTTTTGGACAATTAACAATGGTACGCGCGCGTACACGTACACAAGTCATGCTTGAGATTTGTTTTGTTAATGTCCCTACAAAAACAATTAAAAAGTCCTTGCCCCCCAATTGCACCCCCCCCCCCAAAAAAAAACCCGCCACTGACGGTGTCTTTCAAAAAAACTCCATTAGTTCACACATAAACACGAGTAAATGATTGTGGTTTGGCCATATTTTCACATACCTGTAACTGTAATTCTAAAATCGCAGATGTTCTCATTCCCAGACCGATCTCTAGCTGTGTACCTCATTATAGACACCCCAACCGGAAATGTACCGTGGCCAGCTTGGTAACATTCACCAGGCGGAGTTACCTGGCAGGTAAACGTCACATCTACCTCAGTATTGGAGTTGTCAGAGGTCATTGGGGGCGTCCAGCTATGAGACACCTGATTGGACGATGAGATGACGGGAATGATGACGTCATCTGGACAACCGAGGACCTCAGGGGGTTCATTATCTAGAAGGTGGCACATGAACAAAACATTTGAATCAGTGAAAATCGTGCAAACACAGCATGTTTAAGCTATACAGGTTCAAGCAACATAACATAGGATAAACCACATACAAATACTTTATTAAAAATAGACATCAAGTTCTTAAAACACCTGACTCTTTCATCAACAAAGGTAAACGGGAAGCAGCATTCCAACAATATCAATATACATGTCACATGATGCCCTGTTGTAAGAGTCATCAAAGGCGGTGTAATGCAACAAATGCAGCGACCCTGGTTAGCTCAAAATGACGTCATTGTTGGCTTCATAATTGTAATTTTGCCCAGAACCATCTAAATTGATGAGTATCGTGACCTCTCCCGAGTTGTCAGAAACAGAAGCAGCCGCGGGTAGCGAGACTGTAGCAACATTCTGGTGTGAATCAGTCTCCGCTGTCATACTCGCTGGACACGTAATGACAGGAGGCTCAGTATCTGTTGAATTAAATGCATAATGAATTGTTCGCTCTACAAAAGTAAATGCATTCAAATGTCCCCGCCCCCTCCTTCCTCTGCATTGGTCTCCCCTCCCCAAGCACTCCCTTTGTAACAAGGGCGTACTTGAGCACGGAGTACACACAGAAATTTGCTTTGATAAAGTAGCTTTATCTCATCTCACACAGCATATACATACCGAATCGAGGAAAGGTAGCATCAACATCAGTGTTGCAAGTCACTCCTGCATCGTTGGAGTGTGAACACTGTTGGTGGTTAAACCATCCGCTGTGCTCGCATTGCTCAATGCTTCCTTCGGTTCCTTTACAGGCAACGTCGACGAGGAGAATAGGTCCTGATCCTCGGCCAAAATGAGCTTTCCACCAAGCCTGTGATGCAGAAGGGTAGCCTAGCTGTCGACAGATGACGTTGGCATCTCTGATGGTCCAACCCCTGTAGCAGATTGTACCCCAGAAGCATTTGTAGTACACTTCAACTCTTCCTTCATTGGGAGTGTTGCCATTCACCAGACGGACGGAAACTGCAAACAATGGAGAAAAAGTTGTCGGGATCGATTTCCTTGCGGGACAACAACAAATACAGACACACTTAAGGAAACATCTGCCTCAGATTGATTTGTCTTCTTTCATTAAAATAGTCAGATTGTATATATATATTTTTTCAATAGCATTTTAGTAAAAATTAATGCAAACCCCCCCTCCCCCCCCCCCCCCGCTTTAACACCCAAAGAAATGATACTGGTAATACTGTCCACCTGGGTACGGTTAGAGACAGCTTGGTTAGGGTGTATTTGTACAGTATTCTGTGATATAGTGTTGATAAACGTTGAATTTGAACAGCGCCCGAATTGAAAGTATGGTACGAACCCCCCCCCCCCCCAAACCTATTAGTTTTCGGAGGCCAAGTGTCTGGAAAAACAAAACCTGCCTACATTTGAGAAATATTTGCTAATGTAACCTTTCCCCCCCCCCCCCCCCAATTCCTGGATCCGACCCTGGCCGCTCTGTTCACTATAAACTTCTCTGCCAACGAGTTCAAGACAGGACGTAGATGGGAATAAGAAGATAATTTAAAGGTGATTTGGATGTTTGAATCAGCGTTTTGTTATTTTGAATCCACTCCGATTTCACATTTCCAACTTTATTCAAGCCAGTGAAAGTTCAAAATGCATTAATGGTGAAGATCTATCTTGAATTATTTCACAATCATCTTACTTTGTTGGGAGGTTGTATTGGTATTGTGATCTCCACAGGTAACCCCCGCATCGTAACCGTGACTACATGCATTAGGCAACCATCCACTGTGATCACACTGGTCAATGTTTGATTCGGTTCCATTACAAACAACATTGCTCAGGACAACCGGTCCTGATCCTTGGCCAAAATGAGCACTCTGCCAGGCCTGTGATGCAGGAGGGAGGCCAAGCTGTCGACAGATGACGTTGGCATCTTCAATGTTCCAGCCATCATCACAGATTGTGCCCCATTGGTCTTGGTAGTACACTTCCACTGTACCCTCATAAGGGTTGCTGATATTGGCAAAACGCACCAGTACTAAAAAGAAATAAGTCAAGTGTGCTAAAAATCTCAACCAGTTTAAAATAACGAACGACTTGACGTTAAACTCATACTAGCCGCAGAATTATTCCAATTTGACATCAACATTTGTGACGCCATCGAAGCACAAAACGGTTTACTTACATGTGAATATTACATATGTCAACCTCATATAAGAGACACTATGACATAGAAAAATATTAGTAAGACAACTGAAACTTCCTACCAGGTGAAGAAGCTGTTACACTACACGTGACTCCAACATCATTATAATGAGTGTTACAATATTGACTGAACCATCCACTGTGATCACACTGATCAATGGTGGATTCGTCTCCATCACACTCAACTCTGTCAAGTAGAATTGGTCCCGATCCTTGACCAAAGTGAGCCCTACGCCAGGTCTGGGATGCAGAAGGGTAGCCTAGCTGTCGACAGATGACATTGGCGTCTTCTATGTCCCAGCCATAACTACAAATAGTTCCCCACTGACATTTGTAGTACACTTCCACTCTACCCTCGTGTGGCGTGTTCCCGTCTACAAGTCGGACTAGAACTATATCGTCGACGTTGCAAAGAAAACAATATTTTGTTGATATATTATTAGATGAACTTTGTAAGCAAATATTGTAGTATAGAATTAATCTAACTAATTGTTCTGCTATGATAGCGGATATTTTTAAATAGCAATTTCAAACTGCATCCAAACAAAACGCAGAAAATCACAGGACCAACAAAGAGAATGATAACTGGGTTTGATTTTACAAACCAACTCACCTGGCGGAGGAATTGTAGGACTGCACGTTACACCCACGAAGTCATATTTATAATAATCATCGGTAGTATCCAAAATGCTCCTGTAATTACATTGGTCAATTCTTGATTCATTTCCACTGCATGCAACATTTGTCAAGAGAGCCAAACCTCTCTGTTGTCGAAAGATGTCGTAATGCCAGGCCTGGGATGCCGACGGGTAACCAAGCTGGTGACAGATAACGTTGGCCTCTTTGATGCTCCACTGATTGCTTATGATGAAACCCCACTGACATTGATCATAAACTTCAACAATCCCTTCATGAGGAGTGTTCCCGTCCACTAAACGAACCGGAACTGGAGAAAAACAACCAATATCAATTTACTGTTTAATCTACATTACCGGTTTTAGTAACACTGAGTTGAATTCGTGTCGCGACGTATGACTAGAACGGATATTAAGCCACAAAAAAAAACAGGCATATCTCAAACACATTTCAAAACATTTATAAAACGGTATTTAGGAACATTGGTAATACCCCGGAAACAAACCTACGCATGTAATGAAGTACCCCGGAAACAAACCTACCCATGTAATAAAGTGAGGATAGGACGATACAAATACTCATCCAATCGTACCTTGTCAAAGTGAGGGTGCAATTCAAAATATGAGACATCAACTTTAAATTTGAATTAGAATTACTGGATTTCTCGGTTTTCTTAAGATATATATGATAATTACTCTAGCTTAAACTCCTACAGCTTAGTTGTTATGCACCCCAGCACAGAATCTGTAGCACTGTTGTCGCTTCAGATGGAAAACAATGCACACAAAATGCAAATGATCTAATATTTGTAGGGAAATTGGCATGAAATATGTCAGTGTTTGAGAATACACAGGCCAATTCACCCGGTGAGCCAGTTGTGATGATACGTGATTCCCCACAAGTGACTCCCACATCGTTGGCATGATTGCAGCCGTGACTGAACCATTCACTGTGTGCGCACTGGTCAATGCTTGACTCGTTGCCAATACAAGCAACATTGCTGAGGAGAATCGGTCCTGATCCTTGGCCAAAGTGAGCACCGCGCCAGGCCCGTGATACAGGAGGGAGGCCAAGCTGTCGACAGATGACGTTGGCATCTTCAATGTTCCAGCCATCATCGCAGATTGTACCCCATTGGTCCTGGAAATACACTTCCACCCTACCTTCATAAGGGTTGCTACCATCACCAAGACGCACCAAGACTATATGAGAAACAATACAAGTACAAGTACTCCGACTTCAATTTTTTTCAAATAATACATTGTCATTTGAGGAAATCACCGAAACGCTTGCTCTATTGAACTAAAACGTTATGTACCAATAATACCATGTCAAACGAAATCCTTAATGGGCCAGACTCCTCATCCCGCCCAACCAGTTGTGGCAACTCTGAGCAACAAAACAAGTTCAATTTTAACATTCCTTCCTTAAAGGTCATCTGTGTGTTTTTGATGGTTCAACTCACCAGGCACGGGTAGTATGACATTACACACCACACCAGCATCATAGTGATGATCATGGTAGTCGTAGTCATTGCCTGCATACCATCCGTTGTGGTCACATTTGTCGATACTCGACTCGTGTCCATCACATTCAACGTTTTGCAAGAGAATCGGTCCTGATCCTCGACCAAAATGTGCACGATCCAAGGCTTGCATTGCAGAGGGATAGCCGAGCTGTTGACAAATAACGTTTGCATCTTCGATGGTCCAGTCATAATCACTGACAGTACCCCAGTAGCACTGATAGTAGAGCTCCACTCTACCTTCATAAGGGGTGCTGCCATTGGCAAGGCGTACCAAAACTTCAAAATATTAAAACCAAAGTCAAAGTTTGGAGTTAAAAATAGAAGCTAAAAATTCGATTCGATTTTTCATTAAAACGTGTTAGGAACGTCGTGTTTTAGGGATGATTTTTCATATATGGCGTGTGAAATAAACAGCCCTTCTTCCTGCTATCCAAAAGGGTATCCCATTACATTCACACCACCTACTTGTTCAAAAACTACTGTTGGTGTGATCGACTTCAACTTCGTTCTGATTTAGTACAGTTTATAAAAGACCGAAACATGAGAAGTACGCATTGACAAACACTCAAGAGGAATGTTTGGAGATTATCTCGTCAACCTACCAGGTGACGGAATGGTAACATCACACGTCACTCCGACATCATAGTAATGACTACAGTAATGAGTGTTCCAGCCTCTATGGTCACACTTATCAATGTTTGATTCATGTCCATCACATTCAACATTGCCCAGGAGAATCGGTCCTGATCCTTGACCAAAGTGAGCATACTGCCAGGCCTGGGATGCAGAAGGGTAGCCGAGCTGTCGACAGACGACGTTGGACTCCTTTAGCCTCCAATTGTCACCGCAGACACTACCCCATTGGCCTCTGTAGTACACCTCAACTGTACCCTCATTAGGTGTGTCCCCATTGATCAGACGAACAGATACTGTCATTTAATAATGAAATGATACAGCTTGTTTGTTGTTGTTTTTGTGTGTGTAGAAAATGGCATAATTATAAGCACAAAGTAGACAGTGATGACAACCATTATGAAACAAATCAAATAAAGAAATTCAGTTAATCGTTACTTCAGATAATGCATATGAATTGGCTTTTGACTAGCGCCAAGAACAAAAAATGTCAAAACCATGCACAACTTTACCCGAAAGTAATGAGGCTGGATTTGTTCAAATATTACAGCGCCAGTTCTCTACTCCAGAGATTGAGGCTCGATTCCCGAATCAAAGTGCTTATCTTGTACTTGTACATTCAAAACAGATAACAATTGAAGTCAGGTAAGCCTGCTCATCCTTGTCATTGATAATAAGTATAATTAAACTAACCTGGTGGAGGTAATTCCAAGTCACAGGTTACACCAGCGTCTGTATAATGATTGCAGCCCGAGTTAACATACCACCCACTGTGGTGACACTGGTCAATGCTTGATTCATTGCCTTGACACGCAACATGGTTCAGGAGAATTAGAATCGGTCCTGATTCTTGGCCAAAGTGAGCACTGTACCAGGCTTTGGATGCAGAAGGGTAGCCGAGCTGTCGACAGACGACGTTGGCGTCTCTGATGCTCCAGTCACTCTGGCAAATTGTACCCCACTGGCATTTGTAGTAGACTTCCACTCGACCTTCATTAGGTGCGCCCCCATTCACAAGCCGTACTGGAACTAGAAAAGGGTTTCGATCAGTTTAGACAACTACATTTAAATCCTGTCATTTTCCGCTAACGCTGGTAAGTTGGTCATTGAAGAAAGAATCTACTCACCTGTTGACGGGGTAAAGAATTCGCAAGTCAGTCCAACATCCTGGCTATGATCACAGTTATTGTTTAACCATCCGCTATAATCACACTGGTCGATGCTCGATTCGGTGTCATTGCAAGCAACACCATCCAAGAGAATGAATCCTGCTCCTTCTCCAAAATATGCACCCATGTGAATCATTGATGCAGAAGGATAGCCGAGCTGTCGACAGATGACGTTTGCTTCTTCGATGCCCCATCCGTTACTGCAGATCGTACCCCACTGATTTTGGAAGTATACTTCCACTCTGCCCTCATACGGGGTGGTTCCGTTGGCAAGACGAGCTGAAGCTGAAAGAGAGGGATTATTCGACGCCGGCGTAACAACTAGTTATACATGTATGACAACTTATTCATTCCCCTCCTATTTAGTCTTTTTGTACTGAGTGTAACATAAAAAAATAACGTCACTTTGCTTTGTTTAAATATTTCGACACTTTTTGACACTGTCATTCCTCAGCAAAGTGTTATGGTATAAACTCACCGGAACTGCTAGCGCCACTACAGGTCACTCCGACGTCTTGCCTATGATAACAGACATTATAATACCATCCTATATGATCACACTTCTCGATGCGTGATTCAGTTCCATCACATACAACATTGGCAAGTAGAATCGGTCCTGATCCCTGGCCAAAGTGAGCATTCCGCCAGACCTGGGAGGCAGAGGTGTAGCCGAGCTGTCGACAGATGATATGGGCATTTTCGATGGTCCAGACATTTGAAGAGTCACAGATTGTTCCCCAGTTGCAATCATAGTAGAGCTCCACTCTTCCCTCATTCGGGGTGTTACCACCAACAAGGCGCACTGGAACTGAAAAGTAGAAAACAAATGAGATAGGTAAGTAAAGATTGCACAGACACTAATACTATTTGCATAGACACTTACTTTAATTTACCTGGAGAGGGAACTGTACCATCGCATGTCACTCCAACATCAGAAAAATGGGAACAACTACGAGTGAACCATCGACTGTGGCCACACTGGTCAATGCTGGATTCATCCCCAGCACAATTCACATTGTCTAGCAAAATCGGCCCTGTTCCTGGACCAAAGTGAGCGCTGTACCAGGCCCGGGATGCAGAAGGGTAGCCAAGCTGTCGACAGATAACGTTGGCGTCTTTAATACTCCAACCACTATGGCAGATTGTACCCCAGTTGCATCGGTAGTACAGTTCTACTCTTCCCTCGTTGGGTGCGTGGCCATCCATAAGACGCACTTGAACTGTAAAGTAAAAAAAAGGATGCTTTAATTTACAAATATATGAATATCAACCTTTTTGCTGGTACAATGTTAATAAGTGAATACAAGCCACATAACATTACCAGGTGAAGAGACAGTGGTATTTAGAGTTTCTCCACAAGTCACTCCAGCATCATCCGCGTGACTACAGCTATGACTAAACCACCCACTGTGGTCACATAGGTTTATGTTTGATTCGGTGCCATTGCAAGCAACATTACTGAGAAGAATCGGTCCTGATCCTTCACCAAAGTGACTACCCTGCCAGGCCCGGGATGCAGGAGGGTAGCCGAGTTGTCGGCAGATGACGCTGGCCTCCTCAATGCTCCAGCCATCATCACAGATTGTACCCCACTGACCATCGTGGTGTATTTCTACTTGTCCTTCAAATGGGGTGTTGCCATTTGTGAGACGAACTGAAACTGAGAAAAAAGGTTTGATGCAATATGACTTGTATTTGTGGGATTGAAAGAATTTTGATACAACCTACCGATGAAACATTTATGGAAACGATCAACTCACCTGGATTGGAAAATGTAACGTTACATGTTACTCCAACATCATAGCTATGAGACCAACAACCATAACTGTACCATCCATCATGATCGCATTGTTCAATGCTTGATTCACTGCCACGGCATCTGACGTTGGCCAGGAGTATTGGTCCTGATCCTGGACCAAAGTGAGCATGCCGCCAGGCGTCAGTTGCAGAAGGGTAGCCGAGCTGTCGACAGATGACGTTGGCCTCTTCAATACGCCAGTAATATTTACAGATCGTTCCCCAATTACAGCGGTAGTATATTTCTACTCTCCCCTCGTGCGGTGCGTTCCCACCAACCAGACGGACTATCGAAGCAAAGAATCACAACGTGTAGGATAGTAGATGTGTTTATAGTCAAGTGATCTAGCTATGATCTAAATGTTCAATCAATACAAGAACTTTTGAAACTGTGTCAATAAGCCGATTATTACTTTAGATTGGCATAACCACTCATAATGTTTAATTTTACTTTACCTGAAGGGTTAATGAAGTGGATTTTTTTCGGGAACATATTTTGTGCAACTTTCTACTCCTCTGAAATGTATGCAAACATATGTGACATCCCTTTTGGTTAATTTCATTAAAAAGAGCGCTTCTCTAGACATTTCCAATAGGTGAAGAGGCTAGATCGAGCTAACTCTGAAGTGCAATGTAATACCGCAGTACCATTTAAAGAGGTTGTGAAATGCTCGAAAACATTTCCGTCATTTTTTGGGTATATGTAGCCTAAGGTGTGATGAAATAAAAACGACTATTGTTTCTGTCATGAAATGAGTACAAAAGGTACTTTTGAGAGCTATTTTTCAGGTCCTGTTTCGACCCGAACGTGCAATTTGTTTAAAAGTCGTCGTTGCGGGCAGCAAACAAAACACAGTAAATCGTGAAGTAATAAACAGGACTCGTTTATGCTACTCTGCATCGGGAGTCCTGCTTATTACGTCACGATTTACTGTGTTTTGTTTGCTGCCCGCAACGACGACTTTTACACAAATTGCACGTTCGGGTCGAAACAGGCATGACAGGACTTGAAAAACAGCTCTCAAAAGTACCTTTTGTACTCATTTTATGACAGAAACAATATTCTTTTTTATTTCATCACACCTTAGGCTACATATACCCAAAAAATGACGGAAATGTTTTCGAGCATTCCACAACCTCTTTAAAGTATGAGTACTTGTTGGTGATGTGGAATACCTGGAAAGACCGTGTCGGATTCACAAGTTACCCCAACATCATTGCTATGACGGCACTCATGGTTTATCCATCCTGTGTGATCACATTGATCAATACTAGATTCATGTCCGTCACACTGCATATTGGCCAGAAAAATAGGTCCTGATGCTTGGCCAAAACGTGCATGACGCCAGACCTTGGATGCAGAAGGGTAGCCGAGCTGTCGACAAATGACGTTGGCTTCTCGGAGGCTCCATCTGTTATCACAGATTGTCCCCCATTGGTTTTGGTAGAAGATTTCCACTCTGCCTTCATTGGGTGTGTTCCCATTTACCAAACGCACATGAAATGCTGATAAATATATGTAAAATAGATGTTAATGTTGAGCATGCATGGACTTAGTTTTTGTAAGGGGGGATGAGGAGGATATTATTCCCCCCGGCCTCTGCCCTCCTCACATTTTGACCAAACTGGATGGTGCATTGGGTCATACCCTCCCTCCTCTCCTCCAGCCCCATTTTAGTGGTGAGATATAAAAGTTATGAGAATCGTTATAAGGGATCAACGCGTAACTTTTTAGTTACAACTGTGTCATGAACAGCAACGTGTCACGCGGTGTCCACCCCACCCCTGCCCTTTCGAACTTTCCCCGGCCACGCAATTCTAGAATTGTGCCGTAAAGTGTGGTCATCCCCATCTCCCATGCACTCACCAACACGGATTTACTCCACTGAGTTTGAGTTATAACAACACCAAAAATGTAAGATAAAGTCGTCATATCTGGTGGATCCCTTTGCAGATTTGACGGATTTGCTAATTTTTTATACAAAGCAATCAGTCTAAAATGGCTGTTCATGCTGTATCATTTCCAAAGAATGAAGATTAATTCCATATGACTGAACTTGGGAAAAGACGATTTAAAGTGAGATTTATTTACCGATTAAACCGGGTTTTCACACAAGTTTCCACTATAGACAGATAATTTTACCCAAATATTTCAATTTATAATTAGAGTGATTTTCTAGTCTCTGTAGTTTCACTCGATCTTTTTTTAATATTACAGCTAGTGCACCTCAATTTGAAAGCTCGGTCCATTGTGTCGTCTCGGGGTTTCTATTGCTCTCATTTTTGCTCTCAATTTGAAGACGCAGGACTGATTTTTAGTGCACATCTGTTTATACACCGACAAATTGTATTTTTATCTGCTGAAATCACACAAAAAAACAATTATATGAGTGTTGCCAACAAAACGATACGCTGCAAAATGTAAGGCCTTGCAACCTCAATGTTATTTCAATGATAAACTGTTCAATATTACAAGTTTAAGGTGTATTGTTTTAGATATAGGCCAACATCGTGTTTTCGCTACAGTTCTCGCTGTTATACCGAGTATGAACGAGAAACCATAGTTTTAAAAATCGAATGGACATGAATACTTCATATCTAATACTTGTTATAATTTGAATATGAGAAAACTATACATCTTTTACCTGCATGATCTGCATTTTTCCTAACGCTTGCTAGTAAAACAGCACACAGCACCGCAGAGAAACAACTCCGATTTTCCACCAATCAGACCCATGATAAACGGTCACGATATGCAGCGGTGCACCAACTTTAAACCCACCTGTGTTCTACAGTCCGGACTCAATCGCGATTAAAATTAATTTGTTTTGCTCTTTGAGGGTGTGAAACCTTTCTAACTCACGCAACAACAGCAATATGAGCGCAATATCATGGAACATGCATTGTAGGTTTGTGGTGCATGTGACTCCGTGTTGCGCAGAGTACCATGAACATTTTCCTGCGCAACATTTACAAAAAGGATAAGTTCGCATTCAATTTACTAAAAATGGTGAAATTGTATGAGAACAGTATTCGAGGCCCCTGGTAACTCTGTGGCACTGCCCCCCTCCCGAAAAAAACCAAAAAAAACCAAAAAAAAAATAAGCTATACAGAAAACCCAACGATGCGTTTGTCTGCGTATTTGGCCAAACAGCAATGCAAGTCACACAAAGCAATGTTTAACTCCCCTGTACTGCGTAAGTCTGTCGTACATCTAAATTTACAGGCCATGTTCCATCAATTTCTTGTGTATGACATTGAAGCCCTATGCACTGCATATGCCTTTGAAAATGAAATGGTTGCATAAAAACGACCCGTGACATGACATTTAGAAATTGTAAACGCCTATTCAGCTAGGAATGTGGAGTCCATACCGTTTCAACTGTACCCAGCCATGAATGCCTGATCGATCCAGGGAAGTTTCATAAAGTTAACAAAGATGAGTGAAGTTTTCGGGTAAACAAGCCTCGGTCAGGAGCAGGAAACTGACTATGCTGTTTATGCAGGCCGCATATTCTTTAACGTAGGCGGGTGAAGCCATATTCATGAACACAACAATTCAGAGGTTGTAACATTGAGCCACTGTTAGAGATTCTTCGTTCATCCCAAACTGTGGCAACTAGAAAACAACCTTCTTTGAAATCCTGTTGTTGCCTATATTCTACAACAATGTTCAGCAGACGTCATTTCCTGGTGTTTTTTGTTGTCGTTAATAAACTTAAATTTGCATGCGAAACTATTCCTTTCATAAATTGCTTCACCTGCCTCAAGGTCGGATCCGGGGGGGGGGGGGGGGGCAAAGGGGGCCGTGCCCCCCTCCAAAAACTGAATCAATTTTCTTTTGTTAAAGTGACTTGAGTACACCACCATCTTTTCCTCTAAAAACAATGGTTAAAGTGGTCAGAAATTGCCTCAGATTGCACGACAGACATCTAGACTCCAAAATAATTAAGCGGGCCCCGAACCCCACGCCGTAATTTGTTTGGACACACTATTTGGGGACTAATTCCCGAACACCCCCAAAAAAGTTCTGGACCCGCCCTTGACCTGCCTACGGAAACAAAATCGCACACCATCCAGTATAGGGACGGGTGTAATCGATGAGGGAATAAATGTGTGCTTGGCATTGTAACCTGGGGGACCTCTTCGTAAATTTGCAGGATTTAATAAAGTAATGTCAAATGGTTTTAGAGTACTCTCTAAATTCCAAGGGGGTAAAACTGGGTCACCTAGAGTTTTTAAACTTTTTATTAGTGAAAATCACTCTTAATTTAAATTGAAAAACACTGAAAAATGAGTCAATCCAGTGGAAACTCCGAGTCGATTGACTGAATTTCACTTTTAAACGACCGGTCCCTATAGTGTCAGCTGTTGGGAGTACATGTTCACTCAAATAGATTGACTTTTCACTTTTCGCAAGTAGACAAGTACATGCTGTATTATTTCCGAACAGTCACAAATAAAATACAATCCCTGGAAAAATAGAGGAATTATCAATCGAGTTTCCACTAAAAAGGTTATTTTACAACACATTTCAGTTGATAAAAAATATGTACGTGTATAGAGCTTTTCACGCTGAATCGATCTTGTCCCTAGTTTGTTCACTCTTTAAAAAAAAAATGCATTTATATAAATCATTACTATCTCGGTCCATCATAACTTCCTAGTGTTTCTTTTGCTCTCATTCCGAACATTTTATTATATCTGCTGAAATCAAAAATCTTTCCTTTTATTAATCTCAGTTTTGACAACACAAGGTTACGGTGCAAAATGTAAGGGCCTTCTTACCTCTAATCTTATTTGAATATAACGTTGTTAATGCTAAAAGTTTAAGTCATATTGTTTGAGATATAGGCCTAAAACCTTGTTTTCAAAATGCTGAATAAAGTTTCCTCTGCTGTATGGCCAGCTGAGCTGAGTAAAATGACAAACCATTATGTATTGCAAAATCAAATTGACTTGAGTACGATAATGATGTCCAATGGTGAATAAACACGGGAAAAAATATATATATATATTTACATCTTTTCCCTGCATGGACGGCATTTTCGCTAACGCATGCTAGGAGAACAGCACACAGCACCGCAGAGAGAAACAACTCCGATTTCCCACCAATCAGACCCATGATGAACGGTCACGTGATGCAGCGGTGCACCAACTTAAACCCACTTGTGTTCTACAGTCCTGACTCAATCTCGATTAGAATTAATTTGTTTTGATCTTTGAGGGTGTGAAACCTTTCTAACTTACGCAACAACAGCAATATGAGCGCAATATCGTGGAACATGCATTGTAGGTGTGTGGTGCACGTGACTCCGTGTTGCGCAGAGTACCATGACAATTTTCCTGCGCAACATTTACAGAAAGGATAAGTCCGCATTCAATTTACTAAAAATGGTGAAATTGTATGAGAACAGTATTCGAGGCCCCTGGTAACTCTGTGGCACTGCCCCCCCCCCCCAAAAAAAAAAAACTAAGCTATACAGAAAACCCAACGACGCGTTTGTCTGCGTATTTGGCCAAACAGCAATGCAAGTCACACAAAGCAAATGTGTATCCCCCCCTGTACGGCGTGAGTCTGTCGTACATCTAAATCTACAGGCCATGTTCCATCAATTTCTTGTGTATGGCATTGTAGGCCTATGCATATTCCTTTGAAAATGAAATGGTTGCATAAAAACGACCTGTGACATGACATTTAGAAATTGTAAACGGCAATTCAGCTAGGAATGTGGAGTCCATACCGTTTCTATTTTACCCAGCCATGAATGCCTGATCGATCCAGGGAAGTTTCATGAAGTTAACAAAGATGAGTGAGGTTTTCAGGTAAACAAGCCTCGGCCAGAAGCAGGAAACTAACTATACTGTTTATGCAGGCCGCATATTTTTCACGTAGGCGTGTGAAGCCATATTCATGAACACAACAATTCAGAGGTTTTAACATTGAGCCACTTTAGAGGTTTTTCGTTCATCCCAAAACTGTGGCAACTTGAAAACAACCTTCTTTGAAATCCTGTCGTTGCCTATATTCTACAGCAATATGTTGTTGAGCAGACGTCATGTCCTGGTTTTTTTTTTTTTGGTCGTTAATAAACTTAAATTAGCCAGCGAAACTATTCCATTCATGAATTGCTTCACCTGCCTCAAGGGCGGATCGGGGGGGGGGGGGGGGGGTGGCAAAGGGGTCCATGCCCCCCCCCCCCCTCAAAAAAACGTTTTTAAAGTGACTTGAGTAAACCACCATCTTTTCCTCAAAAAACAATTGTTATGTGGTCATAAATTGCCTCAGATCACACGATAGAGCATCTAGACTCCATTTCGAAATTACGCCATAATTTGTTTGGACACACATTTTGGGACCAAAGTTTGTTTTGCCCCCTCCGAAAAAAAGTTCTGGACCCGCCCTTGACCTGCCTACGGAAACAAAATCGCATACCATCCATAATAGGGACGGGTGTAATCGATGAGGGAATAAATGTGTGCTTGGCATTGTAACCTGGTGGACCTCTTCGTAAATTTGTAGGATTTAATAAAGTAATGCCGAATGGTGACACTGTACTCTCTAAATTCCAAGGGGGTATAACTGGGTCACCTAGAGTTTTAAAACTTTTTATTAGTGGAAATCACTCTTAATTGAAATTGAAATACACTGAAAAATTAGTCAATCCAGTG